CCGGCATTGTAGTCTACTCTACCAGGATCAGGAAACAGTCCTCCATAAAATGTGCTGCACACATCTGAATATTTGGGTTGAACTGTTCTGGAACAGTGTTGTAAATACAACTTAACCACTGATTTCTAGTCGTGTCCTCTTTTGGAAGGCCAAACAAAGTAGTTTCGCTTTCACAATGAAACAGCGTCACACACGGCGGGCTAGAGTGAGCAGAGGCCAAGGGCTAGAGTGAGGAACGGCCGGAGGGCTTGAGTGAGTGGAGGCCGGTGGGCTTGAGAAATGTTGGCAACCACATTTGACGACCCTGGGCTGGACTCCACTTCGTCCATGGTGAAAGCCAATCCGGCGATCCACAGCGCGAAGTTAATATATTTCCTCAGCGACCAGCATGGATCAGCTCTAGGCATGACGAAGTGGATATAATCCTCTTTTGGAAGGCCAAACAAAGTAGTTTCGCTTTCACAACGAAACACACAGCGTCTCCACGACATGGCGGAGGCGGCAACAACAATTCTACAGCGAGAATAAAAGTTACGCCTTCTTTCTTTGCATGAACATTTGGGCGGTGTTAGGCAATTCTTCCCACACAGTGACGTAGACATGTGGGGCGTGTTTAAATGAGGCATTTTAGGAGGGTGTGGAAAAAGTCTTAAACCCAAAGAGATATTCTTTATAAAAGTTGAGACTTTAGTCTTTGCAACATTAGGGATCTTTTATCTATTCACGAACAGCTTGTAACACTCCAAAGAGAAAGGAAAATTTGAAATTGCATCACATGACCCCTTTAAGTCCTGTGATTTTTGGTTTCTTGGGTACAGGGATGATGGTGGAACATTTGAAGCAGGAGGGGACTACACACAGCTCCAGGGATCTGTTCAATGTGAAGATGGATTATAGCTAGACAGCACAGGCTTTGAGGCAGGCTGGAAAGACACCATCTTGGCCTTAGGCTTTCCTTATCTTCTGCTTTCTGAAGACTTTGCGTACATCTTCACAGATCTTAAGTGCAGTCTAAGAAACAGTTGGGGGGAGGGAGGGGGAGAGTGTTGATGGCTGTGTTGTGAGACGGTCGGAGTGGGTGTGGGGTGTCAGACCAGTCTTTTGCTTTTCAAACCTGCAGTAGAACTCGTTCAGGTCTTCAGCCAGTTGTTGATTGGCCTCGGTGCTGGGGGAGGGGGTCTTGTAGCTGGTAATGGCTTTCAGGCCATTCCACACTGATGTAGAGTCGTTGCTTGAGAATAGTTTTTTTAGCTTTTCAGAGTAGTTTAACTTTGCCACTCTTATCTCCCTATTCAGTGTGTATTCGGCCTGTTCGTACAAAGCTTTGCCCCCACTCCTGCAGGCATCCTCTTTGGCCTGGCAAAGCTGTTTGAGTTTTGCACTGAACCAAGGTTTGTCGTTGTTAAATGTTAAATAAGTCCTGGTGGGAACACACATGTCCTCACAGAAACTGATGTTGGACGTCACGGTGTCAGTAAGCTCGTCCAGATCAGTAGCTGCAGCCTCAAAAACACTCCAATCAGTAAGTTTGAAGCAGGCCTGTAAATCCCGTTCTGCTTCAACAGCCCATCTCTTTACAGTTCTTACTACAGGTTTAGCAGATTTGAGTTTCTGCCTGTAGGCTGGTAGAAGATGAACCAAACAGTGATATCACACAGGAAGTTTCACTTCATGAAGTTTAAAGGAACGGTTCACCTAAAAGTTCCACTATTGCCATAAGTTAATAGAAACACAAAGTCTAAACAGGGGGAAAAATCCCATCACAAGGCTTTTGACAAGGCTTACAGCTCACAAGTCATATCGACCACATTTATGGTATTGTTAAGTTTTTTTTAGAAGTCACTATGAACTGTTATAGTATAGGAATAGTTGCATGAACCGTAAAAATGATCACCTTTTGCAATTCACTGACAAAATAACCTCATACAAGTATACAACAGCAACCTATGAGAAAGTACTAACAGAATTTTCATTTTAGTATGAACTACCCCTTTAAATGCCAGAAACAGCCCCATGCTTATAAAACAAACAAACATGTGGATACCTGTGTGATACCTGGCCCCCAAATAGTGTGCGTGACAGAGAGATTTCGATCACATGTCAGTCGTCTTGCGCATGAGCTGACCTTAGTACTGTGTATAGTATTTGTATTACACAAAGAGAACGGCAAAGAGGAGCACAAACTATGTGTATATGATTAATGATGACTACAGTGAGTGTGTTTGTGTAAGTCATGTAATACAAGCAGTGTGACAGCAAACGTGGAACGCAGCCTATCAGAAAGATCAGACAGACAGCTGTGTGTGTGTGTGTCTGGGAAAGTAAGAGCGAATATGTGTGGGCCATGGAAAGAATATGTGCGACAAAGGAAGGAGGCAGAGAAAATGTTTGGGTAAGAATGCCTCTGTGTGTTACAAGGACACCAGCTGTCTGAATGGGACCGTGTGCGTGTCAAAGCAGAGTGACAGATGGAAATTGTCACAGAGTCTGAGTCAAAAGCCATCATGTTTACCCAGGAGGCTTTGCTGGCAGAATTTGTTTTGACGAGATTGAGCACCAAAAGGAGATCGTGTTACTCCTCACCCCAGACACACACTTACGCTCGAACACACTCTAATGCACACACTGTTCCTGTAAATTTGGGAGCCGCTGACAGATGGAGGAGGAGTTGTGTGACAGGAGAGACAGAGAAAATTGACCAATCACACCATCAACAATGATCAACTTATTTGTGCATTATACAGATGACAGACAGAAAGAAAGGAAGAAGACATGAAGGAGTGTGATGTGTTGGCCCAACTGTGCTTTACACGAAGCGGCAGCTGACACACACACACACACACTCCATATCTTCCACACAAACACACAGCTGTGACATTAGGCTCACCCCAGCAGTGTCTGAGGTATTGTGGGTTATTTTAAGAGCTTGGTAAGATAAGAAAGAATTCTTTTGGAGATTTTAACCAAGGCTAAAGCTGCCCATCTCCACAAAACGCCAGTCTTTAACTATGCTTTTTTTTACTAGCTGCATAATACGTACAAATAAAAGGCCATTAAACACTAATTCAATAAATCCCATAATGTGGTTGGACAATTCTCAAAAGCACAATATTGATTACTGCAAATTGCAGCCCATTAGAGGCAGAACAAAAACAACACTATCATTTATTAATCGCCATCCACTGCAACCGCAAAAACCTGTTGCCAGGCCGTAGGCTTCAGATTGAGCCAATTAGGCCTGTTCACACCAAGTATGAATTTTCTCCACATTTTTTTACATAAAAAACATGGTTACATGGCAAGTAAAAAGTTAATATACACTTATAAACTAGATCCATTCCTGGACGCTGATTGGTCAATTCATCATAGCTAAAATAAGTAGAATTTTTTAAAAATATTTTGCAGTATTATCTTAATATAAAATTATATTCAATATTATATGGTGAACACGAGACTTTTTTTTTTTTTTTTACATAAAACATTACATTTTCTTTGTGATTTTTATGTCCACTAAAATTGTTTTATGTACAAAAGCAAGTTGGAAATTATATAGCTATAATGCAACTTCATAAATTCATGAACATACTGCTGCTGAAAATAATGCCATACCAAGCAAAACATTACTGACAGAAGCATGTTTTTTAACATGTTCTGACTGATGCTAGGGGTAAGTAAAACTAAAAATCGATACAATCTTTTTTTAATCACATGCAACATTCGGCACTCATGCAAACTCTTGCTTCTCATCTGAAAATTATTCTGTGGGTTTGATATAAGCAATCTGATGCTACCAGTGAACACGAGACTTTTTTTTTTTTTTTTACATAAAACATTACATTTTCTTTGTGATTTTTATGTCCACTAAAATTGTTTTATGTACAAAAGCAAGTTGGAAATTATATAGCTATAATGCAACTTCATAAATTCATGAACATACTGCTGCTGAAAATAATGCCATACCAAGCAAAACATTACTGACAGAAGCATTTTTAACATGTTCTGACTGATGCTAGGGGTAAGTAAAACTAAAAATCGATACAATCTTTTTTTAATCACATGCAACATTCGGCACTCATGCAAACTCTTGCTTCTCATCTGAAAATTATTCTGTGGGTTTGATATAAGCAATCTGATGCTACCGAAGGGGCATTAATACCCTTTAGCCATAATTATATTTACAATATAGCATGGCCTCTTAAAAGTCTCTATCCAACAACAACAACTATCCAACTTATCTGAACATACTGTTTTCATTTCACAGACACAATAACTGGAAACAAAATGGTCCAATAATCTGGCAACAGTGTTTTTACAAACCATTATCAATGTTTCATTCTAAACAGGCAAATGTCTGAAAAAAAGAACAGTCATGAATCCTGCTACTTCCCATGAGCCTTTGTTTCCAGTACTCAGTCTGTGTCTGTGTGTGTGTGTGTGTGTGTGTGTTTATGCACGCTTGTGTGCGAGATGCTCTGCTGTCTGGCAGACTGTTCTCAGAGATCTGAGACTTTACAAGCTCCCTAGTATGACTATCTTTGCCTGGAAGTAATTAACCTTGCATGTGTGAGAAAAATAGAGAAGTCGACGAAGTGGAGAGTAGTTGAAAAAAATTAACGAAAACATTATTAAAGAGACACAATAAAATTGATAGCTAGTCACCTTTTAAAACTGGAATGATGAAGCATTTTTACTTCAAAATCATTCTAGAGAACAGAAACATTCCTCTAATTGAAAAATCACCTGTGTGTGCTTTTCAGCTTTTTCTCATGCGCTTTTATATCATAACATATACGAGTGCGTGTTCTGCTCATATGTGTCTCCATACGATCCATCACGCTTTCATCATGTTCTCAATGATGACACCAGACACCTTAATTACCTTCACCTGTACGAGAACAAAGACACACACTTCCATCACCTGTCCACACCCAGTGTCCTCCAGAGACAGCCTGAGAACACTTACCAACACACACACATATAAAAGCACAATATGTACTCACATCTAGGGAATCTTCATTGACGATGATGAGGGACATGCCATGTGACACCAGCCTACAGGAGTAACCTGAGACACAGTGGAGAGTTACAGTAGAGGCGTTACAGAAAGCCACACACACACACCCCAACAACAACTTAACCTCTTTGTATATCTGTCATTACCCACTAATGCCTGTCTGCTGTCCACTGGTTTATCTCCAGTCTCACCCAATTTATTTTGAGCTGTCTGTCTGCAGCGCCCGCCTGACTGCCTATCTGTCTGTCCTTCTGCGATTTCCTTAGTCTAGGAGTCCGCTTGTGTGTTTTCAATCAGTGTCTGTTTGATATTGTATTGTGTTGTGTCACTGTACATTGTACATTGTACTTGTCAGCCTACATTAAAGCTGCTGTCTGTAATGTATTATGAAATTACAATTTTAGCTTAAAAATATAATGTACTATTGAATAAAAAATACATAATCTTTGAAATAATTAAGTTTATGCATTGCTTATCTAGGCTGCATTTATTTGATCAAAACTACAGTGAAAACAGTAATTTTGTAAAAAATATTACAATCTAAAATAAGTATTTTCTGTTATAATAATTTTTTATTTATTTAATTTATTCCTCTAAGAGCAAAGGTAAAATTTCAACAGCTATTACTCCAATCTGAAAAATGAAAAAATGTATCACACTTTCCATGATAAATAAAAAATTATAAGAACAATTATTAACAATTCAGCAGCAATAATAATTGATAACCGAGCACCAAATAAGCATATTAGAATGATTTCCGAAGGATCATGCGACATGTGAGAAATAGTCTATGTATGTATAAATATATATATGATAAATAATTGAACAATTTTTAAACCTTTTAAATTATAATAATTTTTTTTCACAATATCACTGTTTTACTGTAGATTTGATCAAGCAAAAAACATTTTAAAAATCCTTTATTTTTACATAAAATAAAGTCTCTTAGCAAACAAATAGCAGAAGATACATATTGTAGGGCTAGCCTGTTTTTGCATGTGTAAAATGAAAAACAAAAGCTCATTTACCAGTTTTACACACCTGTTTCTGAACAGGTATGTCTATATATAATCCATGTTTTAAAAAAACCTTAAACCATTTGCTTGTCTGGTTTAATCTTTTATCTGGTCTCCCTGTCCAGCTGACAAATGCACAACCAGCCCTCTTAAACCAGCAAAACAGACCAACAGGTTTTTCAGCACTTTGACCCAATGATGCATTATATGTGCACAGGAATAAATGTTGAATATTAACCATATACATCACCCTGGGTGCTGACATGATCGTCTGATGTCAAATCCACAACAGCAAAACCATGTTATAATCAGTTATGGATTTCTACATTAGTTAGAAGTCTGACTATAAGTGGTGTTCTATTGACGACATGCTAATACAGACTCAAACAATGGCGTGACTTTGTGGAATAAGTATATAACCATGTATGACACACACCAATATTGATGGCTGTCTCCTGCTTGTCTCCGGTCAGAACCCAGATCTTGATGTCGGCTCTCATGAGTGTAGCTATGGTTTCCGGGACTCCCGCTTGCAGTCGGTCTTCTATCGCAGTGGCACCCAGCAACAGCAAGTTCTGTGTGTGACAAAGAGATGAAAAAAAAAACTGATGAGAAGAGATGAGAAGAAATACTGAATTAAATAAATAAATAATTTATTTTATTTATATATATATATATATATATATACACACACAAACTTTACAAATCAAAATGGTAACCTCACCACAAAGTTGAATTGAACAGTATTAATTTAACCAAATTTATAAAAAAAATATTTCTGGGAAATATACCATATTGTGCATATATGATAACATGTTGATGGCTAATTTATAGTGTAAAGTTATATGTATTTTGAAAAATAAAATAAAATTACAGCATCTTAATTCATTCTTCAAAAAAAAATTTTTTTTTAAATGATCACTTTAAATTTATAATTCTGCATCCTGTCATCTAACTTAAGAAAATAAACTGGATTATGATGCTAGGGTGTTATGTGTGGTTTACTAGGAAGTTACTTTATTGACCCTTATGTCTTGATTATATTCTGGTCTCTAGATATGATTTGAGCCCCTTCTTTAATCCCATTCTATGTGATTTTTAAACCTATTTTATTCTCCACTGGCAAAAATTCTAAACCTGATTTCTTGACAAAGTAATAGCACACCCTTCTCCAAAAATTGCACAATTTGAAGTATCATTCATGTTTTGAAAACTTCAAACCATAGCTAAAAGCACTACTAAATACAGCCACACACAGAAACTCAGTAAATACAGGCAACCTAAAACCTCGTCATCTTTCACACCACCTCCTCTCCATCTTTCACCGTGTCTTATCCACTTCTTTTTAATAATTCCTCTCTCCCTCTGTGAGAGTATGTGTATGTGGGGAGATATTTGAGGAGTTTTTGGTGTATTTATGTGTGTGTGCAGAGGTAACAGTAGTGTTGTTGACTCTGGTTTTATGGGGCTCTTGGCAGACTGGTGCAGGTAATTATCCTCGCTGTGGTATACCAACCCCTCCTCAGACTACTACTCTGGGCCAGAGCCCTGAAAAGCACACAAAACCCAACAAACTGGATTTTCACTGCTCCATATAACAGCATCTGTGTCCTGGGGCTCAGATCTCTGATCAGTAGTTTCGAAGTTTTGCAGTACTGTGTAATCCAACCTGACGGGGAGGCAGTGAGTTTATAGCTTGTAGCAGTTAATGAGAGAACAGCAGAGCACCACCTTATGCACAATCAGAGTTCAGAAGTGTGAAAATTTAATGTTACAGTGCCACCTGTTGACCAGTCAAAGCACTGCATTTGGAGGACAGCCATGTGCAAAAGATGCTAGTCTTGGCACCAGACTTTCTCATATATAATGAACACAACACAGATTTGCTCCCTCCTACACAAGAAGGCACTAAAGTTTTTTTTAATATACTAAATCAAAGATATTAAGTTGCTACAAATAGGTGCTTCTGAGAAACAACTTTATGGGGTAAATAATGCCATTAATCATTTTAGAAATATTCAAGAGTTTTGTGAATGGATGAATGGATATACTGTACCTACGCTTTTTTCAGGTAGAGTATATCCATTCATATTATATATATTAATATTTATAGTATATATTTTAAATATATTCATTCAATTATTACATTTATGAAATAATTAAAATGATATATACAGTATATATATATATATATATATATATATACAGTATATTTTCAGTTTTTCTTTTTTAATAAATCTGCAAAAATGTCAACAATTCTGTGTTTTTCTGTCAATATGGGGTGCTGTGTGTACATTAATGAGGAAAAAAATTAACTTAAATGATTTTAGCAAATGGCTGCAATATAACAAAGAGTGAAAAATTTAGAGGGGTCTGAATACTTTCCGTACCCACTGTATATATATATATATATATATATATATTATTTCCAATATTTATATCAAAAATATAAAATCAGATTTCTTTGTAATAAACTTGTAGAGTCAAGAAACTTTTGTTTTTGCATCCCAGTTTGAACTGTCAAGTTTTTTCATCATTCGGGATATGACGAATATGTAGCAAATATACAAAATTCTTATTCTGACTGAAGTGGTCTGAATACACTTATTTCCTTTCTCTCTTTGCTCATATAGAAAATTTTGTGACATTCCTATTGTGAATAGTGAATGAGTTGTACAGCCAGTTTTTCCAAACACTGTATAATGTAAGCATCATAAAATGCCTGTCACTTATGTTCACTCATGCACCTTGTGATTTATGCAAGAAAGTCAAAAATCCAGTATCTCAAAATATTAGAATATTTCCTAAGATCAATCAAAAAAAGGATTTGCAAAACAGAAAAGTTCAAGTTCTTTAAAGTATGTTCATTTATGCACTCAATACTTGGTCGGGGCTCCTTTAGCACAAATGACAGCATCAGTGAGGTGTGGCATGGAAGCGATCAGCCTGTGGCACTGTTGAGGCACTATTGAGCCTTCAGCTCGTCTGTATTGTTGGATCGACTGTTTCTCATATTTCTCTTGAACATATTCCATAGACTCCATATGGGGTTCAGGTCAGGCATGTTGGCTGCCCAATCAAGCACAGTAATATCATGGTCAGCAAACCATTTGGAAGTGGTTTTGGCACTGTGAGCAGGTGCTAAAGTCCTGCTGGAAAAGGAAATCAGCATCTCCATAAAGCTTGTCAGCAGATTGAAACATAAAGTGCGCCAAAATCGCCTGGTAGATGGCTGCATTGACTTTGGACTTGATAAAACACAATGGACCAACACCAGCAGACGTCATAGCACCCCAAATCATCACTGACTTCGGAAACTTCACACTGGACTTCAAGCAGCTTGGATTCTGTGCCTCTCCAGTCTTCCTCCAAACCTTGATTTCCAAATGAAATGCAAAAATTACTTTTATCTGAAAAGAGGACTTTGGACCACTGAGCAACAGTCCAGTTCTTTTTCTCCTTAGCCCAGGTAAGATGCTTCTGACGTTGTTTCTGTTTCAGAAGTGGCATGGTAGGCCTTTTCCTGAAGACGTCAGAGCTATTATTGTGGTTTCAAAGAACAAGAGATACCTGGAATTTGTACTGTAGGGATGGTCATTAAATGAAACTCAAATGTAAATATTCTAATATTTTGAGATACTGGATTTTTGACTTTCATGACCTGTAAGCTCGAATCATCAAAATTAAAACAAATAAAACTTTTGAAATGTTTTACTTTACATGTAATGAATATAGAATATATGAAAGTTTCACTTTTTGAAATAAGTTACCCAACAAAACAAAAAAAATCACCATTTTCAAATCTACACTGTGTGTAAAAAAGTGGTTTAAGTAAAAGTCTGGTTTGGTCAAAGACACACTGACCCTTGAACAATCCCTTTCCTAATCCTTGATTACATGTGATAGTGACATGCATGGCATAGATTACATACCTTCTCTATGACTTCGTAGCATTCCTCCAGTTTCTGTGCTCTGTCCTTTAGCACAGTGCTGACACGATTGTACTCCTTCAGCCATTCCTGATACGCCCCCTCCTCGAGGTCCACATATGCGAAACAAAGTGTCCGCAGCCCTGCACATGCAAACAAACACAAACCAAAGTTAATCTAAAGAGAAGATAAAACGTTAAACCTTCAAACAATGACATATTGAGAAACTCTTCACCTTCTGTGGCAAACTGCTCCAGATGGGCCACGGTCAGGTCATTATACTGTGACGCCTCATTCAGACGCTCAAAAATCACATTGTCCTGTAATACATGCATGACATCACTACATTACAATGGCTTGTGCCATAAATCAAACCCATACAGAGTAAAAAAAATAAATAAATCAGCTTTGTCATCACAAGAATAAATGACATTTTTAAAAAAATGTTAAAACAGAAGTTATTTTAAATTGTAATAATATTTTACAACATTACTGTTTTACTGTATTTTTGATCTGACAGACACTTTTAAATAGTAGTTTACGTTCCATCTCTATGCTAATTATGTGGTTTATGTAACACGCACCGCTCCCTTGCAATAAAGTCGAAGCTTTCCCGTAGGTGTTCTGACAATCACTGACATCCGTTTGCGATTGCTGCAAAAAAAAGGCACAGACATTGAAACACAACGTACTGGGTATTTGTGATGTTGTGACTGAGCATGTGTGAAGTGGTGAGAGCTCACAGCTGGTTCCTACCTGGAAAATTCCAGTACATTAAGAAGCTCATATATCTGCTCGTTTCCTCTCTTGAGGAACAAACACAAGAAACGAACACATTAACCATACAAAGTACCATACAAAAGATTTGGTTCATCATTAATGGCAAGAATACACATACTAACCGCTTCTATGATGACTGAATGTGGGGTCCGTGCCGTAAAAACAAAGCCCAGACTTTTGGCACCTTTAACCAGCGCTCCTTCATCTGAAAACACCAGATTATGGAAATATCAGTTAAAAGCCCCCAAGGCTAAAAAAAAACCCAGTAAAAACTGTTATATCATGAAATATTATTACAGTTTAAAATAACTGTTTTCTATGTTATTAAATTTTAAAATGTAATTTATTCCTGTTAAGACAAAGCTGAATTTTCAGCATCATTACTTCTTCAGTCATTACAACATCATTACAGTCTTCAGTGTCACATGATCCTTCAGAAATCATTTTAATATGTGGAACTGCTGCTCAAGATACATTTCTTATTACCGGTATTGAAAGAGTTGTGTTGCATAATATTTTTGTGGAAACTGTGATACATTTTTTCTAGGATACTTTGATGAATAGAAAGTTCAAAAGAACAGCACTTATTTAAATCATTTGTTTACATTATAAATATTTTAGAAATAAATACTTTGTCAAATTAATGCATCCTTACTGACTCTAAAGTTTTGAAAGGTAGTATGTGTATATAAAAATAAATTAATATTCATTATTTATATTAAATATTACATTAATGAATTGATATTAGTACATTTCTTACTTAAAATAAGTTAAAAATGAATTCTTACTTAAAACTTTAAATAAGTAATATATAATATTTATATACATTTTTTACACAAATGCAAAACTTAGGTTTATCCCCTGCCTAGGAATCATAGCACTATGGCATATAACTTATATTAAATGAAGAGTAAAAGTGATATTTATCGTGTCAATGTGTTTTCCATATATCATTTTTGTATTATATGACAACTGTTTTAAGTGTGACAATTAACTGGTTAACTCAAATCAAATCAAACTGAGGGAGCAGCTTCAAATATTCAGAAACCAACAAGAAGGTTGTGGTACCTGGTGAGGAAGCCTGGAAGATAATTTGGTTTCCTTCTCGCTCAGGAACAACAGTATGACAAACAGCCATCATGGTCAAAAACTCACAAATCTGTGGGGATGTAGGCTATAGAGAAAGGGAAGAAGCAGATTTTAACTATTAACACACATAATTCACAAGAAAATGTTTTAATATCCAAGCTATGACAGAATAATAACAGCTATAAAGCCCTTACATGATTCTTCTCAATGTTCTGGATAAGAGCAGGATCATCAAACTCAGTGGAATTATGACTTGTAGAGGGAAGGTGACTGCAAAAAAAAAAAGAGATGTAATGGACAACATAACGTAATAATGCACATTATCCTCTTAGACCTGCGTAATATTCGCTAGGGTACAGGACAGAGATAGAATCAGCGGCATCTGACCTGAAGTCCTCCATGGATCGATCGCAGTCCAGGTCTGGGAAATGCCTGGAGACAGCATTATAGATCAGTGGCCACTCACACAAATATAAGCAAAAAGTAACAGATCAATGCACACTAATAGAGCCAGAACGACGATGCAAAGCACAAAGATAATGTGAGTGTATTGATGGACGAAAGCAAAGGAACACTACAATTACCCGTATGTAATTCCAGCTATCGTGCACTTCTTAAAGTGCATGATGTTGCATGTGAGAGTGCCGGTCTTATCTGAAAATAGATATTTTACCTGAAAAAGAAAGAGACAGTGAATGAGATGTACTGGAGTTGAGGTACATAAACATTTGTAAAAGTTAATGGGAGGAGCTTCTCCTCACTTGGCCGAGTTCTTCATTCAGATTGGACGTTCTGGCCATAGCGGGAGTGTCTGTCTCGGCGTAATACATCTCAACATCCTGTAAGCATGCATGAAGAACAAAGCACTTATTCACAGAGAATCAGAGTTCTGTGTTCATAGTTTTGGCAAAAAATACTGTAATTTAACACTGTGATCAACTGATAAAAAATGAAACTGGTGATTATTATTTATTATTATTTTACCCAGTTGATGAAGAGAGCCTGTGTGAATTTGACCACTTCTAGCGTGACCAGGAGGCTGATGGGTATCAGGTTGTTATAGAGGATGATGAAGGTTAACAGATTGTACCAGAAGTTCAGAGAGATGTCACCTGGATACACAACCACATATTTTATATATATTATAACCACATAGCTTATTTTATAAAGACTAACATTTGCAAAAAATTAACAAAAGTATTTATTTTTGTCTTAGTAAGTGCTATTAAGTGAAAAGGTACAATAAATATTCTAAATCCATATCTGAAAGGGCAATGTAGGTTTCCCTGTGGGTTTCACCTGCACGGGAAAGGTACCAGCAAGCCTCATCTGTGTGCTGTTTGTTCCATATGGCAGCACCGATGGAGCTGACCAGCGCCATGACCAGGAGAATCCCGAACAGAACCAGGATCTGCATGTTTGTCACACGCTCCACATTAGAGCGCTTCAGTGGAGCTTTAGTGGAATTCTGCAGGATGAAAACATTATATTAATGCTCAAAAACAACTTGAACACACACTACTCTTCAAATTTGGGGTCAGTAGGATTTAAAATAAAATAAAATAAAATAATGCAGCCTTGGTCAGCATAACAGACTTCTTTTAAAAAGTTTTAAATCTTACCGACCACAAAACTTTGAATGGTAATGTAGATGCATATTACTATTTACATCTATAATGACTCCATGAATATGTTTTCATTTATAAAAGGAATTAGGAAAGTGTAGCCTCACTACTTTCAGATGACTGCATCTTTAAAACCACCTGAATGGTTACAACATTTATCTCTATGGTATTTTCATAGCATTTCCTTCAAATAATACTAATAACTGTCCACATCAGTGTTATTTTACTGTTATATATATTATATTTTTATATATACAGTATTTATTAATATTTTGAGTTAGCTTTTAATTTGATATTTTCAGTTGTTTTTTTTAGATTGTTTTATTAATTGTATTCCGTTTCTGTAATTTTTATATTTCGGTTTAGCTTTAATTATTATTATTTTTAATAATAATAATAATAATACATATGATACAGTAAGTAGCCAAGGTAATATTCCTTTAAATTTGGCATATTATTCTATATATTTAAATATTTATATTATATAAATAAAATGATTTTTAAACGGTACCAGCACTGGTCCACATCCAGCTTTTATGAGATCACACTTACCTGCATGAGCTTTGAATCATGTCCAGTGTAAACTACAATTCCCACAACCCACTGCGTGTTCCTGAGCTGGGCTCCTCTTAACAACACTTGGTCCGGCCCAAGTGGAGCTGGGCTGTAATACAAGCACATGATGACTGAATGTAGTGTGTGTGTGTATACAAGTTATATTTTAATTTCTCATTAATAGCAAGTTGACGTACTTGTGGTTGTCTAAGCGCAGTGTTCCAGTGAAGTCATACAAGTGTCTGTTCGGCCCCTCACATTCAAGACGACCAGACAAAGCCATCAGTTCCTCCAGAGACTGAAAACTAGCTGTGAGAGAGAGACCCTGAAACACACATTTAACAAACAACAAGCATGTTATACTCTTAAAACACATTATAGACATATTAGATTTATATGTAATGCGTACCTGTCGGATCTTTAGGTTGGTCTCACCATCTAAGTTGGATGTTTCAGTATAGCACATCGCCTGAGGCTCACTGTGAGAAAAACAGTAGCAGATGTTGAACACAAAACAGCTGTACAAAAACATATATAACACGCATATATATATTTTCCTGAAACACATTCCCAAAATTACATGTATTTTATTTTTCACTGCTATAAATCACACTAGTACAAACACAGGATGACAAACCTCACGGATACACACACAAACACACTGCGGTGCTGACCTGGAGGACACTATGACCATGTCAGCTGGAAGATGCTGCCCATTGGTCACCTTGACCATGTCTCCCACTGCCACCTAGTGGGCAGGTACAGCATTGCAACAGCATGAGGAGGGAGAAAATTAGATTAAGAAAGAGACCACAGTGCTTGAAACAAAGAAAGGAGAAGCAACACACAACAGGATGTACAAAATCAAAAAGAGAAAGTTTTTAAAAAATGCAGTGAGAGGTGAACTGAAAAAAGCAGGTGTTACCATAAAAACTACAGGACAGAAACGAAAGCATTATTGACAGAAAGGAGGGGAAACAGAGGAATAGAGTAAGAAAAAAAGATGCGGATGCGGAAAGAAAGAGAAAGATAGGGTTACCTGCTTCCATATGATGGTTTGCCATGCTCCGTTACGCAGAACTGAAAAACAATGACATTATCAGAAAAAATCCACTCATGAATATATAAACAATATATAACATGAACAAATAACAACTAAATATACGTTTTATTAAGAGGCAATATTTGCCCCTAAAAAAGATTTTCAGGGACATTTTTACCTTCATGAGGGTATATTTTTTCTAACCATCTAAATAAATAAATCTTATGAATCATAGGGATACACTGATATTACAATTCTTACCAATAACAAAAAGCCAATAATTATTTTGTTGTTGTTGTTGTGGCAAAAACTGATAAACAGAATATATAAAAATTCTATACTCTTCTGCATTGTAAAAAAAATAAAATAAATAAAAGTAAAACCATTATTGAAATGCTGAGGTGAATTTTGCACAGTTTAAGTAAACATTAAAAATAAATATACATTTTGACATTGCTAAATATTACATTAAAAATATTTAAATAATTTGTGTTTTTAAAGAGCCAATGTAAGCTAAAAGTAATAATATTTTAAATATTTATCAAAACATTTTCTTTTTATATATAGGAGGATCGTTGAAGGTACATCATGATGTTGTCAGAGCTTTAATAAAAAACAATATTCGATACATATTTAACAGCACTCGCCTCCAAGTGAGTGAATACAGATATAGGTCACTACCATGACTGCAAAAGCACTAAACCCATAACTTGATAGGCCTAATAGAGTATTTTGAAATATATCAAATCTTAGATAACAGATAAAAAGCACATCTTGGCCTCAATTTTTAGGTAATTTTTGTTACTTCTGGTTGTCCTAATTCATTTCTGACCCTGTTACACAGATATGATTAGTAATACTCAACCTGTTGTCTTTTTCTTGTTCACAGTATTGTCTGCTTTATGTCTTTTCTGCACGAACACAACACATGACAACTCATCAGCAATATTCATCGGAAAAATATCAACTGCATTTAAGACAATGGCACAACGCACTTATCCAGTGTTGGCAAAACATAGTCTGGACAGTTCAACAGTAATTCAGTGCTCCATTCAGCAGAATACTCACATAATCCTCAATGATCTCCTTGATCCCAGCCACTGTCAGAATAAAAATAAGGGGCACCAGTGTTGTGTAGCGACCCGTCGGTGAGACATCAGGGATTTGCTGAATTTGAAAATGCACACAGATAAACATAATATGAAGTACTTTACATTGGTGGTAAAACAACATGATTTGGAAAAGTCCTATGTGTATTTTAAAACAAGTTTAGGCAGAAAAAAAACAGAATCCTAATCTGACTTCACAAGATTTGGAATATAGCGTACCAGTCGTATGGACTATTTTTATGATAACTTTAGCACTGTTTTTGAAGCAAAAAAGCTCAAAGTCACCTTCATTTGTTGGCATATGAAAAAAAAAGTTGGGAAAAAAATAAGTTTATAAAAAAATATCTTATTTTGTGGAAAAAAAGTCATACTGACTTTAAATGACATGAGGGTGAATAAACGATGGCAGAATTTAACATTTTAGGTAAACTATCCTTGTAAACATCATAAAAATAATGAAGTTATTAAATATAAATCTATAATATAAGCACACAAAACAAAGGCTGAATCCATCATAGTTGTTCACCACTTCAGAACAAACTGCTTAGCCAGAATTTTTGAGGAATATCAAAACAGTGCTGCCTTGCAAAGCACTGTAATGAGTAAATAACATGACACACTGAAGAAACCTTTTAGCTATTTAACTTTTTTTTTGCTCATTCGTTTTCATGAAATACCGGCCTAACAGATTGGATCACATGGCGGCCGTTATTGAGATTGCATAGTGACTCATAGTCGATGAGAGTGAAATAGTGGACCGCTTCCAAAAATGGATATAAAACACAAATGGACATGTTGGCAAATAACCGAAAAGTCACATGGTCAGCATAATCAGTATAGCACCTCAGAGATCCCCTTTGAAAGAAATCACCACAACCACTACATTTTGTACTATGAGGTCCTCAAGACAAAGCAGAAGCAGTTCGGACAGCATGCCAAGTGTCATACCTGCATAAGAGCGATGAAGAGAAAGAAAGCATTAGCCGCTCGCCTGATCTGTTCGTACAGGAACCGCGGCAGGAAGGTAAGGATCCCGTATTTAGCCGTGCTAGAGGGGAAAAAGGGAAAATCGACAGTGTTTAAACTATCAAACAATTTTTAAGCTATACAGCCAGGGCAATAACAGCACTAATTCAGAATTAGCTCCACTCAAGCTTCTGGGAAAAAAAAATGTTTTGATACAAGCCAACATCTACCTGCGTTCACGAATGCCTGACACTTCACTGCCCACTGCATTAAATTTAGATAAACAATCCCAAAATAAGTGTCTGGGCGGTTAGGATGGATGTTTCTCATCGATGAAGAGAAAGAAAGCATTAGCCGCTCGCCTGATCTGTTCGTACAGGAACCGCGGCAGGAAGGTAAGGATCCCGTATTTAGCCGTGCTAGAGGGGAAAAAGGGAAAATCGACAGTGTTTAAACTATCAAACAATTTTTAAGCTATACAGCCAGGGCAATAACAGCACTAATTCAGAATTAGCTCCACTCAAGCTTCTGGAAAAAAAAAATGTTTTGATACAAGCCAACATCTACCTGCGTTCACGAATGCCTGACACTTCACTGCCCACTGCATTAAATTTAGATAAACAATCCCAAAATAAGTGTCTGGGCGGTTAGGATGGATGTTTCTCACCGTGTCTGTCAATTATCAGTATTGACTGAACTCCTAAGTAGCTCTTGAATAGCTGATTGCGGCAGTAAATGTTTTACAGTAATTAAAATAGCTGTTAAGAATGCCTAAAAATAACCTCTAGGTCTACAAATTTGCCTCTGTACCAAGGTTGTCCATCTAAATCTAAACATGAGTCAGTATCTGTTTGTGTGGGTGTGTTTAGACCTGCATCTGGAAGCACATTTTGTATACTGTATATCCAATCGCACACTCTTAAAAATAAAGAGGGTTTCCACAGAGATGCCATAGAAGAATCATTTTGGGTTCCACAAAGAACCTTTCAGTGAACAATTGAAGAACATTTTAATAATCTAAACAACTTTTCCCACTATAAAAAAGCCATTTGTGCAATGGAAAGGTTATATTGATGTTAAATGTTCTTCATGGAACCATATATGCCAATAAAGGAGCTTTATTTTTAAGATTGTACGCATGTTTTGTACTACAGCATGTGTACTTATGTGAGGGCAGTCTTCTGTAAACACGACACCCTTCTTGGGCTCATCGGCAATGAGTTCACAGCCTAACACACCCCGTGTAACCCACACTGTGGCCTCAAACAGCAGCTCGGTAGCTGACCTGGAAGTACGGCAGGCTATCGTTGACATCAAAGAGTGGCTGAGAGCATTCATACGATCCCCTTCATTAACATTCAGCGGTCCAATCACACACACAGTAACCCACACTGCCGTCACCATGATGTGTAGTACCTGGGGTTACCCTAAAAGACTGATATGGATGATTGCACTGCTGGATTTGCTGGTCTGGTTACTTTCTGACTGACAGCTGACCAATGGAGGCCAATGCAATGGGAAGCAGAAACCGGTTGTAAATAAAACATGAAGATCGAGGAATAAGAGAGTGATTTGAACAATTGTTATGAAAATTTCCACTGCTGCAGCCACGCAGACATTATATCCTGAGAAGCTGATGAGCTGAAAAGGTCAGAGCTCCCGCCGTCTGATCTGAAATTAGCCAATGACAAAACGGCTACGGTTTTCTAGGCCCACCTTAATGTTGTTACAGGAACCAAAATAGAGCCTTTTAGAGCAGAATCGAATCTTTAGAATATACTGGCGGATCGATGAAGTGTGTGTGGGTGAGTGTTTCGGTACTGAGAGGCTGATTTTGTATGAGCTTCCATATTGTGGCACTAATATGAAAGCGATCTGGGATATCGAGCTTTTGTAACAACTACTGATCATATACATAACACAAATCATCTTCATAAAGTTTCAAAAAGAGCAATTTTTTCATCAAGCAGAACTTCACTGCATACGAAACGAATCAAACTGATATAACAGCCATTCAAAAGATTTTAAAAAATAAATAAATAAACCTTTGGAGGACTTGGGTACTTTGGAGACCAAAAGACTTTTTGTTCTGGAACTGCAGATGAACTCTAGCCAAGCACGGCCCGGAACATGACCTTGGTGTACTCACAGGAAATCTCTGAAGTACTTCACTTAATGGGAGCTATTCGGATTTGCGTTCAATGTTGCATACATTTAGCATGTAAATTCCCTGAGGGAAAATCTTAACTTGATTAAAGCATTTTTACAATCAATCTCATAGCATTAGGAGTTAATAAGATGATTTTTTTGTGCTGGATCATGAAATGTTGGAACAGCTGCATTGTTGGTGAGGCATCAAATGCAATGTGTTTAATTTAATAATTAATTCAAGAATAACAGGTGAACAAAAAAATTGAGAGTGAAGGAAATATAGGAAAGACAGGAGGAGCCTTCACATCTCTGTGACTGGCTGATCACTCTATGAATGAGATACTGCCCTTCTTTGAAGTGTGAAAAAATTATAATAAAAATAATAAAATTGAAGGTGCATCTCCAGCCACCATAATTACACTTGCATTGTTTACTGATGTTTTCAATTTTATAAATATTAAACTGTTAATAATTAAAGATACACAAAATATTCTTGTTAGTGCATTATTTTAGTTGATATTTTTGATGCAATGCGATGCAACTTGATGAGACTCTTAAGGAAATTAAATGGACAAATAAATAAAATAAAAGTTCACAAACAGAAACTTGAAACTACTTTTTAAAAATTTGGGGTCAATAACTTTAATACATTCAGCAAGGATATATTAAATTGTCTTTTTTAACTTTATATAAATCAAAGAATACTGAACAAAATATATCAAAGTTTCCACAAAACTATTAAGCAGCATAATCACTTTCAACGTTGATAATAGTAATAATAATATGAAATTCATAATATAAAATATATATTGAGAAATCAGCATATCACAGCTTTCAGCTTTGCCATCACAGGAACACCTGACATTTTAAAACTTATTAAAACAGAAAAGAGTTATTTTAGATTGTAATATTATTTTACAATCTTACTATATATTTGCAGCCATGGTAAACATATAAAACTTTTTTCAAACACATTAAAACATCTTACTGACCCCAAACATTTGAAGGGTAGTGTAAATAAAAAACTGTGAGCAAAATATTACAATATCGTTTTCTTGCTGATAATGCAAGTTAAATGCGTATATGTATTTCCATTGCATTTATTCTAAACTAAAACACAACAAAGAGAGTTTTTCATTCTCATTTCAGAAGACCACCATACACCACTGCAACAAAGAAGCAACTGTTTGCAGCATCTTTACCATGCTTTTAAGTTAAAGATTGCTACATTAAAGAGACCACAATCATATCACTAACTATGAGACCTAATCATGTTCACACTTACAGCAACGAATACAATAAAACAAGCGTGAATAAATCAAAGGTCACTGTAACATTTTCCAAAAGACCCGAACGAACTCACCTGACATGGTTGTCACAAAATTTGGTGGTCTGGGCTCGGTTGAGCAGCACGGTCCGCGCTGTGGCATCTATCGGGTCCGCCTGTGATGTGGTTCCGGACATCTCATCCTCTGCCTTGCGGTAGCCGGCGGCGGAGCACGCGGGTCCTGCACCGTTGTGATGGGAGAGAGGCGAGGCTAGCGTGAGTGCGCGTGGAAGATGACAGGAGGAAGAAGAGACATAGAAATGTGGTTTACAGTTCAGTGCGCTGGCCACTAACACTACTACTGTGCTGATGCAAGCCGCCCCTGATGCCAATGACGTTTCCCTCGGTGCACCGCCCTCCCCGTCCCTTTCATTCCCCCATCCTCCTCCTCCTCATCCTCATCCTCATCATCCACGAGCAAAAACTCCGTCACCAATACAGCATACGCGCGACGCCCACGGGACCCCCTGTATAGAAAGTGCTGATGGGAGCACAATGGCGCAGCAAACACCTTTCTAGGAAACCTTGTGCATTTGTTTATCTTTATAAAAGCTGCTTTATTCCGTGGAAACACCTGTGTATTCACGATGCGCTGAAACGAAAAGCAATGAGACAATGGCTGTCTCTCAAAACATAGCGAGCGTCCTACCTAGACAGCATTTTAGGCATCATCCGCACCTGATTCCAACATCCATACATGTCGGCGAGTCACGACGCGTTAAAAAGAAATCTCTACCATTATAATCAAGTCACTGAAAGCGTCCTTTGGGTCGCGTCGACGGTTTTTGTCTTTGACGCGCTGAAGAGCTACTCATTTTCGCCGTCTGAATGAATAATTTATATAAAATTCTTATTTTATTTCTTATGTGCATATGCAGTTATAATAGTACACAATTAAAACGTACATAAATAGATTTCAATAATATTTAAAATTTAAATTAACTACAATTATTTAAATAAATCAATATAAATCAAGTTATTCATTCATGAGTAGCCTCGAGCTTACAGCTGATTGGTCCGTGAGTTCAACGTTCTGCGATGACGTATGGCTTCTATGCGTCCAGTGTAGCCGTCGCGTCGCGTCGCGTCGGGTGTTTTGAGACACAGCGGCTTACTACGATTCCTTCTCAAATGTTGCCGCATCGCAGACGATCGCCAAATGATTATTTTCCGCACGTAATAAATAATGTACGCTCGGTAAATAACAGCTCTGTCTGTATGTGACAGGAGAGTTTACCCAGCTGCTGCATGATCGAAAGCGAGTGTGGAGAGATGGATTAATCGCGTCACTTCTCCCATTCCAGTAAGCCTCTCTAATAGACAAGCCCCAAACCCTCTCCCACCGTGTCATTTAGGCCGTCTCGGGCAATCTGGGGACGTTTTAATAAGACTCCACTCCGCTGTCTTTTCTGCAATAGACGATGGTTTCCCCTCGGACAACGCGCGCGCTCTGTGTCCGCGTCTAACTACACCGTTCCCCGCAGTCACACAACATAAAAGCCTTACATTTAAAGGCGCAGGCACTGCTCGAGGGCCACAGATGTCCGTCTCCACAATCATAGATCGAAACGCACTAAACGTGCTGCTCACCGACCGGCAAGAAGTCGTTTCCTGTTCATTTGCTCCTCCTTGTTTCTACGGTGGAAACTACCTGAGGCCACATGTATGTTTCTCAAAGAGTTGGTGTTTGAAGGTCAGATGTCAATTTTAAGCAATTAGGAAGATTTAAATGGTTAAGGCAAATGTGAATGGGGGAACAAATAACGGTCAAAGAATTTGCCATTGAAAACTATTGACCACTGATGTGAATATTGTGGGATTAATGAATTATTAATATGCACTGGGCCACATATTGCATTATTATTAGCCAGATTTTGCACTAAAATACCATAACGTTTCAAAAGGTTTGATTCCCAGCTTTTGAGGTTAACAAAATAATTAGGAATTATGGTTCTTGTATTATTTTCATAAGGCTGTAGCCAAATATGTAAGTAAATGTGGATCGGGCAACAAATGTAAAGGTTACAGAATATGCCATTGAAAACCACATTATTGACCATGATCTGAATATTGTGGGGTTTATGGATGGAAAAAATGCAAGCCATCAGCTAAACGATATTAAACCTTGTGACAGATCTATTATAGAAAATGTTGTTTAAGCAAAGTCGAAAATATCATATTTCCTTTTAAAAATGTAAAAAATGCGTTTAACTCGCAGTAAAGGTAAGAAGGAAGTACTATTAAAATTTATGGCTTTTATCTATAAAGTACATCCTTCTCTAAAGGTTAAACACATATTTGACATTTTTGACAGACAGACAGACAGACCGACCATACTGGGTCAATGACAATAAACTTTCTTCCCACAAACTCTCACAACATGTGCGCTTGCTGCTTGAGAATTTTTCTAGACTTTTTATCTAGACACAACCATGCAGTCTCTTGCACCATATCTAACAATTTATCTGCTAGTCAGTACTGCAAAACCACAAACCAGATGAATCAGCTAAAACTTGCAGACGTGATCATACTAAGGGCTATGTTTCCATGAGATCTATCTGCTTTCTGACACTGCACTCTGAAAAGTTCTCTTCCTTCTAACAACATGATCTTAAGTTATGAGGAGCAGGGTGTAAATGTAGCAAGCACTCATCTCTTTGGTGTCAAAGGCCAGCTTGACCACTGATAACTTGCCACTAACTGAGAACTGTGTTAACTTGTAATTATGTATGGTGTCATATATTTTAGTGCTGAAGACACTGGCTCTTAAATGTGTTTTTATGGAGTCATAAATTATGGCTAATGTATCTTTCAAGGTGACTCTGGGCACCTTCAGACTTAATTATAGCATGAACAACAGCAATGAGCTAGTGGGTGTAGTTTAAACTAGTGGCACTCAAATGGTTCTGCATCAGGACCCAGATTTTACATCAAGTAGCATTTATTATACAAAACTTAAAATCAAACATTGAGATACATGCAATTCATTGCATAGATCCAGCAATATGCAGACTTTAATACAATATTGTGTTATTATTATTCATAAGTTTTTGCTCTAAAATAGTTTGAACATGTTTGACGCACAGCCTGTAAAATTGAAAAAGTTAATTGGAAACATTTTACTACTCATTTTTAATAAGCATATACATTTTATTATCCTAACTATGCACGCTTATCTTGTTATTTTCATTTACCATTATATTTTCCCATCTATAAAAACAGACTGCATGGCGACCTACTGAGAACCACTGCTGTCAACACCTGTCATGTTTCCAGATCTGCCTCACTAAATAAATATACAAATCAATGTGAACCAGAAGTTCATGAGAGTTCCTCAGTAGGACGTACTCTGGACTAGGGCCAAAGAATCACATATGACACACTTTTCATCGTGCATCTCATATACTGCTCTGAGCGATCACTTTCTTCCTCCAACTCTTTCATTTTCTATTTCCGCTACTTATTCTTCCAGTCCCAACCTCAGCCATTCAATCTTAATGGCCAGACCGGCAGACACTTTGTGCCAGATTAACATCACAGAACTGTAAAATCAGCAACATACTGGTAAATTATGTGCAGGACATTGACTGGACAAATACATGACAAACTTTTCATAATGGACACACATGGCTCTGGTTAAGACTATTAACAAGCACTCAATTCACAAGTTGCCCAACATGTGCTGATAAAGCTGGGAAGTTGAGTGCTACACTGACTTTTGCCCTCAGATAAAGACCAAGAAAGAATCACTAATTGTTCCGTTACACCTAAACAGTGTCAACAACTGCACAACATTTCAGCTCAAAACATGGTTGAAAACTTGATTTCCAAAATAAATTAAAAATATCCTAACACCCTAAAACCTTTTTTAAAATATTCATAGCAATAAATTAACAATATAAATCTAAATATTGCTAAATGAAATATATAAAGGTTATATTTAAAGATTAATGTAAAACTCGCCTTACGTGCAGTTAGGGTTGCAAAGAGGTGGAAAATATCTGGTAAATTTCTGGAAAGTTTCTGAAAATGAAAAATGAAAAAAAAAGGAAATTCCAAAAATGAAAATTCTGTCATTAATTACTCACCCTCATGTCATTCTAAACTCGTCAGACCTTCATTCATCTTCGGAACACAAATTAAGATATTTTTGATGCATTCTAAGAGCTCTCTGTCCCTCCCATAGACAGCAATGTAATTAACATGATCCACAAATTCACTAACGATCCAGGAATTAACACGCACCACGCGGATACGTTGTTTTCGTTCAAATCAAAGCATAAATAAAAGTAGAAAACGTATCCGCGTGGCGCAGCTGACACAAAACAACGTACACTGTTTGCGTTCAGTGGATACTCTCCAAAATAGCATTAGGGTGACGCGGAGGAGGCGAATTGTTGAATAAAGTTGTTAGTTTTGTTTTCTTTGCGTACAAAAATTATTCTCGTAGCTTCGTATAATTACGGTTGAACCCCCTGATGTCACATGGATTATTTTACTGATCTCCTTGCTACGTTTCTGAGCCTTGATTGTGTTAATTACATTGCTGTCTATGGGAGGGTCAGAGAGCTCTCAAAATTCATCAAAAATATCTTAATTTGTGTTCCGAAGATGAACGGAGGTTTGGAATGACATGAGGGTGAGTAATTAATGACAGAATTTTCATTTCTGAGTGAACTGTCCCTTTAAGAAAATTTGAATAATGTAATTTATTTAAAGAAAGAGCCACAATTTGTTCAGTAATCCACTGGTTAATGAAAAAGAAAAAAGAAGCAGTTTTATGATTAGTTTTTTTCCCTGCTATACCGAAAAAGTACTGAACCGTGCCTTTAAATTGGAGGTACATACCAAACCATAATTTTTGTGTACCGCGTTACACCCCTAATATACACAGTCATGTGAAAAAGTTAGGACACCCTATTGCATTCCATGGTATTCTGTATCAGGAGAAAATAAAAAATTATCTGGTCCTTGAAAAGTCTTAAAATTTGGAAATAAAGCCTCAGATTAGAGGTCTGCATTCCCGACCGGATTTTTTGCGCCACGGGATTAAATTCCTGAATAAAACATGGTAGCGATCGGTAACTCTGGTGTAATTTGAATGGGAGCGGACGGTCTAACAATATCCCGTTCCCGACGTCCATTTAGAACAGCATATCTGCGCTTTATTCTTATTGACCACCGGTACAGCTTGTGCTCAGGACTGTTATG